GGGAGAGCTCCGTCAATTAGAAGGATCTTTCTGTCTTACATTTAATTTGTGACAAATCTTTATCTGTCAATTTCCAAAACCGTCATTACTAATTGCTCTACATATTTTTTTTTAAACTCCCATACTTTTTTTAAAAAACCGTGACTCCCCACCATTACAATTTTCCTGTATAGTTTCATTTCCATAAAATATTTAATTGTCAGTTTCTATATGGATCTGTACACGGTGTTCAAGCTGTTAAATTCTGGTTGTACTCTTGCCACCTAACTTTCATACTGCCATCTATTTCTTCTCATACTTTCATCATAAACTGTTTTGGGTCCCATTTCACTTACATCCAACTCCTTAAGGAATTGATGTAGGGAACATATTATGGATGCTTTTGATTCAAAGAAATGAAATGATGATTTAATTTTTCTTCTTTGTTCTTCCAATTAAATGGTCACGATTCTTACTACGCAACAGGCGCTATCATTATAATTATGCCCTTCATTGTTTAAAAATTCTTATTGTAATTTATACATCTTTTTTATATTTTAATTGGGATGTTAAAATGTCTTAATGTTGAATGCTAAAAGAGCAAGAATGGGCGATCAGACTAAAGCGCTATGCAATATGCAAGTTAACCAACGTCGAGCATTATAGGTACTTGGATAGGTGACTGCCGACCGGGAAACCTCTCAGCTCTGAACGATGTGAAGCCCATCAGACAACAGAAGGCAACTTGCACCAATGGTATGTAGTGATGGAGCTAGGCGGATTTGAAGATTTTCTTGGATCAAAGAAAGTCTGTATGAAGAACATAGCCAAGATTGGTCCCAAAATTTGTTATGAAGCTATCCGCAGCCTGCTGCTGCACTATGGAAACCATTTGATATTATTTTGAAGAGAAACGAAATGTGCTCTTTTTTTTTCTAAAGGAGGTGCAAAGAAATGGTCTAATTTTTATTTATTAATGTGGATTTTAAATCTTCAAAAAATAATTTTTTTAATTTAAAGTCTTCTTCTGTCTTTTAGGCAGTGCGGTTGTACACAGCAGTTAGATGTTTCGTATGCCTCCGTAGCGACCCACCGTGCTTTTAAAAACAATTACGTTTTATCTAGACCACAGTCACAGACGATAGGTCAGTACTTGATTACCTTCAGTGCTCGAAACACGCTCTGATTAATGATCCACATGTCTGGGTTGAAACGTCGGTACCAATAAAATCTTTATAATGACTGCGTCCTGAATATTTATCACCCATGATATGTAGAATAGTCGACTAACTTTCTTCAATAATTTAAATTTTATTTTGCTGAGCTCTATTAGTCGTGCTTAAGTTTGGACAACGACCAACCTCAATTTCCCCTCGTACTATTTTTCTACCAATTCAGTTTTCAGTCTATTTTTCCACTATTCAGCTTCATCTTTAGATCTGGTTCAGTTGTTCAAGCTTACCGCATAGACCATGGAAGGAAATCTCCTCTACCACATCCAGCAGTTCTTTGAAAACCTAGTGAAAATTTTTCAAAACGTATGGCCAAGAACAGAATCCTACAGTCATATCACAGTCTTTTAATTCATAGATGCTACTCTGTATTTTCCGTAGGTCCTGTAGATATCTACCCAACAATGAGGAGCGTTGTTTGCTTTATCACTCTAGAGTCTAGCGTAGCCGGTTCGAACTGACCTGGCCCGTTAAAAGTTGTATGGTTCAAAGTTATTTCTTGGTTTACCCATGGAATGAATCTCAATTTCCCGTCTCTACTTAAACTAGATTTGATTATAACTTTAAAATAATCCCACAACCACCATGTCAGGCGAGGAAGGAGATAAAGGGAAAAAACAGATCCTCTCAGCAGGGCATATGTGGTTTCCTTAACTTTAGTGAATCCATTCTGGTGTGGATGGCCCAGGCTTGAAAAGATTAAACTTAGGTTCTACATCAGCAGGTTCTCCAACACTTCCTTCATGAGGGAGGAGAAACAAACTGTCTTCTTCCTTATAAAAGAGCCTGACAAGTATCCTTTGTCCAGGCAATCACTGAAAGCCACCAACAGGCTTGTGGATTGCTGCATCTATCATATCCTAGCACTAACGGATCCAGGATTTAATTTTGGGGGGGCTTCAGCCCGGAAGCTTTTTTTTTCATATATATAATGATAATTATATAGGAAAAACAGAAAGATACTAACTGCCTATATGAAATGGTTTTTAAGTGATTCTTGAAGCCCTATTAAATGTAAATAAACGAGCAATAATAGTTTAAGACATAATTTTTTTATATTTTTTACCATAAAACATGGTTACCTTTTACCATTTTGGGGGGAGGCTTCAGCCAGAAAGCCCCCTCTCTTAGATCCGCCAGTGTATCCTAGTTAGGTGTCCGATCAGCTCATTTTCTGTGTACAGCATGGAGATCCCAGGATATTTCTTAAGGTGGAAAAAGGATTTGTACCAAATTTCAAACACTGCCCACTCGCATTAGAAAACAGGAATACCATAGGGGTCGTTCATCACTACTATGTGGTTCCTAATAATTAATGCACCGAGTTGAATGTCCTTTAATTTGTTTGATTGAGGCCTCAGATCGTGTTCCAAGAGTTGGTATTTGAGCATATGATTATGCTCTTAGAACAATCTTTGAACATCTCTTTTAATATAATTTCCATTAGGTAGATAAGTGGTTTGAAGTCCTAGGTCCTGGAACCTCTTCCACCCAATTACCTTCATGGCACTGGTACTAATATTCGTGCTAAATAAGACAGCCCTATCGGGTTTTGCCTTTCTACTTTTGGGTCAGATTCATTGGTGGTGGTTTATTCTATAGTTTCACAGTGGTATTTTCTAAGTATCATTTACTTGGGTATATGATCATGGTACAAAATTGCGCCTCCAACTTCAGAAAATTCCTAGATCCGCCATTGGTTACAAATTACTTAGTTTCGTTATAAATTGTGTTGTTATTTACAAACAACTTAATTAGTTATTTACAAATTTATTTAGAAACAAATAACATAATTTTGATATTTTATTATATATATTTTTTAAATTATCCCCACATATATAAATAAACTAAGGCTCGAAATCGGTTCTGTACCAAATATAAGCAAGCTCTTGTCATACTCAAATACATGGAGTTTTAAATTTCCATTTCCATTGTTGATTATAATTAGAGAGAAAATAATAATTTAGTTCTTCATCTTACGATAAGTTTCATGATTTTCTTTTATTAATAATTTGTCATTTGATCATTAACCAATATAATGTGTGAATTATTCCCAGGAGCCATTTAGTTTATTAATAGTGCTAAAGATTGTGCCGTAATGTGTAAGCAAAAAGCATTAATATTTCTAAACCTCAATGTAGTTTCATTAATTATTATTCTGATAGATTTCATCAATTTATTATCAAGTGAATATAAATAATTATTTAATGAATTAAAATAGTTTTCAAGAATACATGATTGTGTAAAAGTTAAATATAATTTTGCTGTATAATGGATATAATAGAAAAAAAAAGGAACTTGAATGTCGAGAGAGACCAGTAATCATCAGAGGGGCAAGGTCTGGATAGTATAGAGGATAAGATAAAAAGCCCCAATCAAACTATAAGAGTTTCTGTCAAACAGCGAACGCCATGGGCTGTCAGGCAGAAACTCTTATAGTTCAATTGGGGCTTTCTACCTCATCCTCTGTACTCCCCAGACCTTGCTCCATCCAATTACTACTTGTTTCTTTCATTAAAAAATTCTCTTCATGATAAATGTCAAGAACCCAAAAGCGAAATAAAAACGCATTTCAATGAATATTTCAAAAGTAAGTCTCAACAATTTTGGAAAAAGGATATAAGAAGCTTCCTGAGAAATAAAAGAAGATAATAGAACAGAATCGTTTATATATAACACAGTAAATCAACCATAAACAAAAAGGAAAGAGCTTATAGGTCAACCTACTATAATTTATTTTTCATTATCTGCAGTGTGCCATTGTAATGAGCAACATCCTCTACAAAAAATAGTTTACAGTACAAAATTTTAAAATGTTATAATATTAAATGCATGTTTGTGGATAAACAAGAGACATTAAGAATGTTACAATTTGTATTATAGATAAAAGAAAATATAACTAAGAAAATTGTCCATGAAGATTGACCATAAGCTCGAAACGTCGACAGATGGAATCTGGAATTTACTCTTCCTCCTCAAATAAAAAGTGGATAGTTGCTATTATTTTGTTGTTTTTCTTGATTGTAATCTTTTATGTAATCAATGCAATTATACAGGATGTTTCAGAGTTGAGTGGCCAAACTTAAAATATGAACTAAGGATCTCAAAACAAGAAAAAAATTTTCTCAGAAGATTTGTCCGCAAACACTTTGTTTAGAAGATATTCACACCTAAAGATTATCGTTGTTATGAATTATTTACGTTATATAAAATAAATGAAACCTATTTATTTGTTCTAACCACTTTATTAATTAAATGTAAACATTAACATTCATATTAAATGTTGCTCAAAGTGAAGGTACATCCGCAAACCCTTTGTTTAGGAGACGGATTAGATAAAACACTAATATGGCCTTTTATCCTTAACTGTATAAAAACTATTGGTAACATAAGGATTACTACCATTTTGAATTAGCATTGAGAACTCTCAATAACATTTATCAGTTTGTAAGATGCTTTCGCAGAGTGCTCATCATTATGCCTTCCATTTATACTGATAGTGAATATGCGGATATATGGTTTTTGCAATGGTAACGCTAATGCTGCCCGTTATGAATATACCAGGCGATTTTCGAATAGAAGATTACCAAACAAGTCTTATCTTTAGTTCCACCTTTCAGCATCTTAGAGAAACTGGTACATTTGCTATAATATAAGTGCTGATGGTATCTTTACCCTTTTACAAAATGAAGAAAGGAGAGTGACCATATTACAATAATTTGATGATAATCCATCTGGCAGTGTATGAAGAGCTGGAACAGAATTAAATATTCCGCCAACTACAGTATAGAGAACTCTCATTGCAGATGCACTTCACCCATATCATTATCAACGGGTACAAAATTTATTACCGCAAGATTTTCGGCAAAGAAGAAATTTTTCAGATTGGTTCTTAAATCAAGTTGAGCATAATCCACGATATTCAGAAAAATTTCCTTGGACAGATGAAGCTACCATTACAAGAAGAGGTATCTTCAATCAGAAAAATAATCATCTCTGGCCGCAGGAAAATCTCCATGCAATTCGTGAGCATCATTTTCAGTGCAATGTGTGCTTGGGGATAATAGACAATATTTTAATAGGTCCGCATTTCTGCATGGCCAATCTATTGATTGGGATAATTAACATTTAGCCATTGTCGTAGATCTCTTCCGTAATGTGCAGGACAACCATCTAATTGAAGCCACATGTCATACAAAGAAGGATTATTAAATCGTGTGAAACAATAACACGTATCCAATGCCGTTCTGCCACTTCTGCTGTTGAAGAAAGATGCCGAGCCTGTCTTAATGCTCAAGGAAATACCTGAACAAAATTTAATATGAATGTTAATGTTTAAATTTAATTAATAAAGTAGTTAGAACAAATAAATAGGTTTTATTTATTTCATATAACGTAAGTAATTCATAAAAACGAAAATCTTTAGGTGTGAATATCTTCTACATAAAGCGTTTGCGGACATACCTTCAGAGAAAATTTGTTTCTTCTTTTGAGGTCCTTAGTTCATATTTTTACTTTTGGCCACTTAACCATGAAACACCCTGTAGAGAGAGAGAGAGAGAATCACTTTATTATCATAAGAGGGTGCTGCCCAATTACATTGGGTTGCTTTAAACACAGCATACTTATTAATCGCTACAGACAATTTTCCAAAACTAATATACAATCTATATATATATTTTTTTCCTATATTTTTATTTATTTATTTTATTTTTACTATTTCTTTAATTCATTTATTAGCACTGTACATCCCTTTCTGTTCCTTCTCTCACTCTATACATTTTTCTCGTTCCCTAGATTTTCTCCTCTCTTTTTCTAACCTAATTCATAACATGCATACAAAAACATAAAGTGCAGTGGATGTGGTCAATAAATAATGTAAAAATGCTGTAAAACACGCATGCCTCCCCCCATGAACAAACTCCCTATCCATGCACATGGTGATGGATAATTCCCAGGGAGTCAAGAATTATGTTCTCTGCCAACCTTGCCACGTCCTTATATATCCTTATATGTCGACACCAAGGCCCTCCATGAAGCTCCTTGTTGAGTCTGGTATCGTTCCGCGAGCTCCGAACCAAAGGCCTCTCCCGTGGAAGAAAGAAAATAAATATAAACAAACTTAAATATACAATTGATTTAATGAACTTAATAAAGGACTGAAAAGGTTCAATAAAAAAAGTCACAAGTGCTATGAGGGGTTATATTTATGAAACAAAATATATATATGTATTTTATATCACAATGAATATGATCTAACAATAATACAAACTATCCCTTAGCCGTAAAGTTAAAACATCATAAATCGATACACAAAAGATTGTCTCTTCAAAACATTAATTTTTGCCATCAATTTTCAAAACATTTCCTGATTACGACTTTAAAATCAATTGTTTAAAAAATAATAATAATGTACATGTTGATGACAATTCATTGATAGTTTGGTATGATTCTATTCTACAATAATTTCATATAGAAAGGGATACCTGCCATGTTCTTCTACTTCATATTTTTTTTCTTATTTTTATTTTTAATATACTTGTCATAGAATTAAATTATCTTTGTAGTTCAAATACAAGTTTCACTTTAACAACTATAATTAAAATATATAATGAATGAACAAATTTATATAAATGTTGTTAATCTAACTGTAATTAATTTTAAATTGCATAGGTACATTATATACAAACAAAAAATATATATATGTATGTATAAGTGAATATGTATTCTATACTTCAAATATATATAATGAAGATTATAGTCTGCATTCAAATTTGCACATGACAAGCTAATGATAATAAATCCATACATAACATATTCATAACTTTAATACAATGATAGTAAGTAATATACACAAGATCATATATTATTGCTCCCACAGAATTATAATTTTTTTTTTTTCCGTCAGCTAATTTTATTTACACTAGATACACTTTCATTTACACCAGTAGGGGTAAATTTTTTTTTTCTGCTCCAATAAATAGGAGAGCAATCTATACAATATTCCAAATAGAGAAGAAAATAAACTCTACAATAGAAAAAGAATCCGAAAGCATCTCCTCAGAATAATTCCAAAACATTCAAACGAGTAAAACATATAAAAATAAATGAACATTTCTCAAAACATCTGGACGGCACTCATCATAAAGACCCATTCTCATTACATTCAAAAGCTCAAGATAGTAAAATATATCTTCAGTAACGTTAAACATTTAAAATTTTTAAACAAAACAAAAAGAAAACTCAACTCACGATTACTTCTCAATGGTTAAAAAGTTATTTAAATATATATATATACTTTACAACAAAATATATTCATATATATTTTTTAATATATATATATTTATACAAAACATTAAATAAATATCTATTCTTTCATACTTTCTTTTAATAGTAAATAATATTTGTCTCAAGTCACCCAGTTTCATTAAATTTATATTAAAATATTTGCTCAAAGTTCTGTACAGTGTTCATGTTGCAAACACAAATTTATACATTCTTCATTAATTTACACAAAATATACACTTGGTGTTGACAGTCTGTTGATCCGATATAAAGCTATAGTAGTATACGAAATTTTGTCATTACACTTTACACACGGAGGTTATGATCAGTCAAGGCGATCTCTATTGGTTGTTGTTGTTTGGTGCGTTGGGGGATCCGATATTGTCAATATCTCGCTGAGCTCTTGAAATCTTAACTTTGTCTCGTGGGGTTCCGTCTTCTCCGGTCTCCATTGCGAACATCTTCATCTTCTCCTTGAAACTAAGCTTCTCAGGAACGGCGACGACTCCCTTGTTAGACATCATCTTCTGCTCAGCAAGCATCCTTTGTCTGGGGTCCCTAACGAACAAAATGAATATAAATTAAACTGCAATTATAACAAACTAGTTGTCCGTGCGAATAATTCGCAGAATATTTTGTTTAGTGAAGAAATAGCAAAATGATATAGAAATAAGTAGATCTTATGTATTATATGGAGAAGGAATTAATTGTGTTTTCCTTGGTCAAATACAATATTTCATTTAATATAATAGACCAAAAGATTTGTACAAATTACTTTTCTAGGGCCTATTTTTAAAATCTGAATATTACCTTTCATATTCAAAACAAGACCTCGACCATAGGATTTTCTAACTTATTAAACAAATATAAAATAGACCAACAAAAAAATGCCATTCCACTTTCATAAGTGGCACCATAAATGGAATCTCGAGAATGGCAGAGTATGTAAAGTAAAGATAAGTAAAAGCAAAGTAAAGGGAAAAGACTGAACTGTCTGGCTAGGCGCCAACCTTCACAGAAAAGGACTCGTTGTATGCTATTTTTCCCTTTTTACAGAGCGGGAATCGAAAGCAATGTTGTAATCAAAGATAATTCACACCTGATTTAAACCAGCAGGGAGCGAGTTTGCCAAATTCGTAAATCACAATTTAAATAACAGATAATATTAAAAACTCTAATTTTGAATATTCATTGGCTTCGAGACCTTGTACAAGATTAACAGTAGCCATTAAAACACAATTTTTCCCTTTATCAAGCTCAGATTTTTTGATCCATCAATCTTAACCTAACACGATAAATCAGAATGTTATTCTTAGGCATAAATATCATTTTGACTAATCAAGTAGAATCTTCTTAACTTATCAACAAACAAGATAAGGGTGAATAGCTAGAAAGAGTTTAAGAAAACTGCTTACTACTTGAGAGGGAAAACATGTGTTTTTCCTAAAGAATCTACTCATCTCTATAAAGTTTAAAATATGTTATTAATGACCGATTGAAGATACAATAAATTATTTGGGAACCATTATTTCAATGGAACATAGGCAATTTCAACAGTGAACAAAATCTAATTTTTTTTTTTTTTATGAAATAAGCTATCTATCACAAGCATCAATATATTAAAGTTGTTCCATAAATTTTTAATATACTTAAAAAAATATTTTCAAAAATATAACTTGAGTCTTACTTGTAAACTTCCTGGGCTCCAATAACTCCAGGCGTATTTCCTGTAAATGGTGTATCAGGACTTGTTGGGGAAGAAAGCATATTCTCTGCTTCATTTATGAAATTCTGAAAAAGAGAAAAAGAATAAAATTCAAATTCCCTATTTTAAGTATTTAAAACTGATTAAGAAGTACTAATTCTATAAGATTTGAATTTTCAACAACAGGGTCTCCAATTCATACAAAATAAAAATATCTTCTACGATTATTAAAAAGTAAAACATTAATAGAAGTCAAACAATAATTTTACAATTACTAGAATACTTCTTTGGTAGTTTAAAATGTAGATTAAGGGCCAGTTGCTCCAACTCAGTAAAGCTTAGATTAAGCATTATATAAGATTACACCAAGTTTAATCTTGATCGGTCGATCTTAGAAAACTTGGTTTAATATAGATAAGGCTTAATCTAAGCATTACTGAGTTGGAGAGCAACTGGCCTTAAATATAAGAGATATATTTGTACTGCTCTTTTCAATTAAAAATTAAACAAGAAAAAATATTTAAAAAATGAAGTCTTCTTGAAGTTAATTAGGAAGCGAGTTTTCAATATAAAATTAGTTGTATCAAGTTTTATCAGTGATTATATTGTTTTTTCAAGTATCACTGATATTTATATTTGTGTGTACAAGTCCTTGGGTAAAGATTTTATTTTAAATAATAATTTGAATTATGATAGGTAGATTTAATATTTAATTTGTTAATATAGATTCTAACCCTTCAGAACAGTCTCATTTTTAATTTATTTGTAATTTCAAAAGCTTTCTATATATAGCATCATATTCATCTAAAAATATATATTTTTTTAATACATAATCATAGATTATTGTTAATATTGAGATATGAAGGTGCAAATGAAAAGTAATAAAAAAAAAAGAAAAAAAAAAAAAGAGAGTGACTACAAGAACTACCAACAACTAAATATTTAATTTAAAAAAAGGTAATTATTTATAGAAACAACTAACTTTTGAAAGCTTTACAAACTATAAAATAAATAAATATAAGCTTAAAAATCTAGTGCGCACAACACACAACTCTTACCGCTCTACTTTAAAATAGAAATTATTTTCTGGCCATGTTGGGCTATAAAATATAAAATTTTTGAAGTGCCTTTTTAACTGACCCAAAGCTAAATCACTATCATTAATACTATTAAAATTTAAAAAATCCTATTTATTATATCAACATTTCATTATGGATTGTACGATCCGTTGATTATGGATTGTGCGACTATTAGTTATTGAACTGTTATTTTCCATTGCAAAGTTTACTAAAATGGAATTACAAAATTTGCATTACCTGTCATAGATAAGTAAAAAGTTGTCACACTGTTGGGATATCACAAAGGGAAAATTCATCACATTTAATTTTATAAAAGTTTACATGATGGTTTTTCAGAATAAACGGGCGATAAATACCTATTTATTTAAATATAATATCAGATCTAGAGTTATTAAACTAAAGTAAATATATTAAAGGTTTTAAACGTACCCATGAAATATTTTTATATTTCAATTATTCTTTCACAAAAGTATAATGAGCTAGTATCTTAAACAATGTCATTGCCTTAATTCCACGGATTTTAAATCCTTTTTTTTAAAACTTAAAAAAAATTTTAAGTTTATATTTCATAAGAAAATTTTATTTATTTTCCTTGAAAACATATAATTTACGTCAAGTTATGTTAGCTTTCAGAAATTATTATTTATATTTTTTTGGTTACTCTCTGTTATGTTTTACAATTTTATTTATTAGATATTATTTTTTCTGAAATTCTCCCCTTTCCAATGATATTAAATACGTATAGCTTCTGACTATTATTTCCAGAGATTCAATGTTGACATGGATAAGCATTTTTCTTTTTTACTCCTTTATTCAATTATCAAATACTTTCAAAAATTATATTTAGCCATTTAGCTAGATAAGACCTAGCTGATATCAGAAACAACTTAATAATACACTGATACATCGAGTTTAATCAAAATTGTTAGAGCCATTTTTGAGAAAATTGTAAAAATGTGTAACATATCTCAGGCATATAAAAACCGTAAATATGCAATTTCACTTTTGCATGACTTTTCGTATTTTAAGTTAGACAGTTAACACCAACACACACACACACACTCACAGATCAAAACTGAGATTCGAACATTTTCACGATCGCAATACTTTTCTTTACTATATATTTTATAGATAGTTAAATGAAAGTAAGAATGAGACTGTTTTGAAAAATAATAAATTGTTGAATCTAGCAGTTGTTTAATTTAAATCAAAACTGTCTGAAATACAAATTGCTAGAATATATCACTTATATCCTGCATTGTTAATATTTGTTTCTAGTTAAAACTTAACACTATATACGACTGCATAAATTGAATAACTATTCCATTTTTGCTAATTTACACAAAATATAAAGTTAAAAAATATTTGATTTTAGCAATATTAGAAAATTTAATACTTACATTAGGATCTTCTCTGATCTCTGACAGTGAAGAAGGTGGTGGGGGAGGGTTGGACGGGGGTGGTGGATCCTGAAAAGAGACTCTTTTGGCGGTCGCTAAAGTTGGAGTAGGAGGACTACGCAGCGACTGAGCGACAGCAAAAGATGAACCTCTTTCAGGTGGCTGTGGTGCTGCAATGGTCGCGGTGCCTCCATTACCAGTCTGACCTGTATACAAATTTTATGTAGTAAAAGATATTGTATATTATTTAAAAGACAAAAAAAAATATATATATGTCATGTATTATTAATGCTTCACAAAGCAATTACAAGCAATACAGCAAAAATTATTTACCTCCTGGACTGGCCTGACTCGAGCTATAGCCATTATTGTTGTGATAATGGTTATTGTTCGAAGGGGAGTTGATGACGAGGTTGTCTAACCGCAAAGAAGAAGGATTCCTAAGGGTCGATGTGTTCTGGTTCATGGGAGGTCTCGAAGGGGTTTGATAGCTATTCGAAATCAATCGAGATTCTTCTTCCTGCTGCATTAATAAATAATGATCCATATTGAAATTATTACATCAATAATAAAAACATTTCAAATAAACTAAACATAAGAAAATAAAAAGCATACCCTCTTCTTAATCCTCTCTGCTTCAACTTCAGCCTGTTTCATTTTCAAATCTTTCAGTCTTTGCAATCTTGCTTTCTCTTCAGCGCTTACACTATAATAAAATAAAAAATATATATGAGTATAATGAGAGCATCTTCATATCTGGTTTAAAGAATTATACTAGAACATAATTAAATAATACCTTGAAACAAAAAATCTCAAATTTTTTCAAGGTCAATTAAGAAGATTCATTATTGAAAACCAACTAAAACATTGATTTGAACAAATTAAAACTAAGTGAAAAAATTTAAAACCGTAATCGAACAAGCATCTCAAATTGGAATTTTCTGTATAATTCTATAACACAGTACTTATTCAGAAGACTAGTGTTCGCCCGTTGGTCGAAAATCGACCATAGCCATTAAAAATTTGAAGAAAACATATAATTAAATAATAAATAAAGAGTAAATCATGATTCAAAAATCCTCATTTATTAATACAAACAAAATTCCAATTTCAATTAAAAATCGAGATTATGCTACTTAAAATTATTTATAAGTAATCCAAAATAGACTCATTCAAAAATATTTAATTTATGTATGTTATGATCGCAATAGATTAATGTTATGATTAAGCAAGTAAAAAATAAATTTAAATTAGCAATTTCAATCCACTTTAAATCCATTTTTATTCAGAACTTCTCTGTAACCAACCTTCTTTTTGAATGTTCTGTTATTGTTTAGTGCATAGCCATGCCCATTGCTATTGAAAATATAAATTTCAATATTTTAAATGAACATAATCTACTTGTTGCCAAATATAAAATAAAACGTATAAAAATGTCCATTATATGTGAAATTACTGGACGTCGCAATAATACACACATTTTTCCAAAACTTTTATCCTGCGATTTGATTGTGATCATAGCAAATGCACCTATTAATAGGAACATTGTTCATTGAAAGTCGAATGTAAGTATTGTGTCAGAAAATGTTAAATTAATTCTTGGAATTAAAATTCTTTTAGTACTTCACTCTCATTCGTGTTCCATTAACTAATGCTTGTGCTGTATTTAAGTTAACAATGAGTATAACTACAGAATCTATTTTTAAATTTAATTTATGAGGTATCAATCCATTAAAATTAAATTATATCATCTCTTCAAATAATAGTCCCAATTATGTTGGTATTATCAATAAAAAAATGTGTACTTTTTGAGTTATTCGCCAATAAAATACTGAATTCATCATAAAAATGTATGCAGCTTGTTTTCGGGAAAGCATATTATATACATAAATTATGAATGTTTTAAGCGGAAGACTTTAGCCAAATTTCATTAAAATCGTTAAAGCCGTATTGGCGCTACAGTATAAAATCACGTTTTTCGACCGCCATTTTGAAAGGAAAGGCCTAATGATAATGAAACGTATATAAAAACACTTCTAAATATTATTGCGACGTTGTGTCAAAATATTAAAGAAATTGGTGAAAAACTTTTGGAGATTAGCCGTTTTGAACAAACTACCATTTATATTTTTATTTACATACTATTTAATATTTTTATTTATTGAGAACACTAAAGCTCGTCAATATCCATTAAATAAAAAAGAATGAAGAAAATTGGTTGAATAATAGAGGAGTAAAAGGGGCTGAACCGATTTGTGTTTACCTATTTATATAACGATCTAGATAGCAATGAGTCAGAAGGTTCTATAGAATAACCTTATGGAACTGTCCACATCTTCCACCACTACTTATAAGAAAGAAGTTTTTATAGAACAGTCAGATGTTTAAGTTTTAATCAGTCAGAAAATCAGTTAGTGAGTCATATGTTAGTTCTCAGTTAGCTGTTTAGGAAAAAGTGTTGTCAAGATATTTATTTGGGATTATAAATGTTATCTAATAATCTTTTAAATTCTTAATATTGCTCAATAGCTTACGGATGGTAATTAGAAGAGACAGAAGTGACTGGCGGCCTTCCGATGGTACCGTTCATCTGAGGAGTGTGGTGGCTAGGAGGAGTGGAGGCGTACTGTTGTGCAGTCGAGGTAGTAGTGGAGTACTGGGAGGCCGAGGAGTAGTGCTGGCCGCCGCTGCTCGCGGAGGAGTACTGCTGCCCGCTGGGGTTGTTGTATTGTTGTGATGTTGGTGTGTACTGTTGTTGCGGCTGTTGTTGTTGTACCTGCTGCTGCTGCGGTGTTCCAGACTGTGTTGTTCGTAAATTCCTTTTCTCATCATTCTGCTGAGCAACACGCAAGAGACCTTGCACTCTCTCTGCAGCATCCTGTAATTTCAAATAATAAAAAAAAAAATAAAAAATCAGTAATAAATTAAAACTAAAACCTAACGATTAATTAGTTACTTGGATGGAAAAAAATCAAATAAATTTAAGCTGAAATAGAATTCAAGAGATAAAAGACGTATATAATATTGAGATTCAACTTTTCAAATAACAAAAAAAGGGTTAGCTAAACTTGAAAAGTGTGTCTTGGAGGTGTGACCTATATAGGTGCTAAACATCTTTCAGTCCTTCTTTATACACATGGATTTATAATGTATTTAATGCAAATATAATGTAATATGAGGAGTTGATCGGGGGGGTGTAGTCAAATAAATACTTAAATACTAAATGGTACTTTTTGTCTAGCGGGCCGGCACGAAACCTCACTATTTATCTATCTTATCTAACATCACGTCACATAACCTCCCTCTTCTTATTCCACCAAACCTTTGAGTTATTGCATTGTTTAGTTTTCAGTTATTCCCTTATTACGTTCACTTATTAAATTCATATGTTTTTCAAGTGTTTTTTTATTATTTCATTTTGATGTTCTATATATACATATCTTCTTAAAGTGTTTTTTTATTATTTCATTAATATATGTGTCATAAAATAAAAGTATTTTTTTGTTATTACATTTGTTTTTGTATCTGTTTACACTTTCAATAATACGAAGATATGAAGTAGGAGAAGGCTTATCAATGCCTTATGGGAATTATCAGTGTTCAGCTTATAAACATTGGCAGACAGCAGTCAGTGCCCACTAGACAAAAAGTGCCTACTAAATTATACAAATAGTATTATTTAATGTTTGCCGACATTTCGACCCACTTTGCAGATCTTCATCAGGGTGTAGGATGTAGCACTGCGGGAGGCAGTTGAAACACTGCTATATGTAATTATGTAACACTGCTATAAGTAATACAAATACTTATAATGTAAATATAATGTAATTTAAACTAAATTTTTCTGGTAAGAGATGACAGGGTAAGAGAAAAACTGAAAAATATTTCATGGATGGAGTTTTGAGAAGCTGGACTGGAGACCACTTTTATTTAACACTATCTTTGTAAATATGCATCCGAGAAATTTTGTGTTTTTAAAGATGTAAACTGATAAGCAACAATAATTAACAAATTATTTAACACTTTGACTGCCACGGCAATTTTCAGAAACCTGGCCTAAAAAGACAATTTGATTTAATCAGATTATATTATTAAAAACTCATCAGCAGTCAACGTGTTAATCATTATCATGATAATCTTTATCTCCAAGTCCTACCGCTATGCAGGGTTTAATTATTTAATATTGTTATGTTTCTGAAAACGTACCTGGTCTTCTTCATCCTCTTCTTCTAATTCTTCTTCCGCCCTCTTTTCGAATTCCCTTTCCAGTTTGAGTGCTCTCAATTGCTCTTCTTGTGCGGTGTTTCTTTGAGGCAAGCTGCTCAGTTCTGCAATCTGCTGGTCTCTCCAATGCCTTGCAGCATCCCTTCTTCTTTCAGCTTCCTATAACCATATTTTTATTTATCAATACTATCATAAGACCATTACATATGAACTATAGAAGTATAAGAATCATCATTCCAATATTAAAGTTTAATTGAAATATAAACAAGTCTTTACCAAATTTTTATAAATATGAAATGAAGAAATCTTACAAACCTTTTCGCGCTCTTCCCTTTGCCATGGATTGGATGCTTGGTAATAATATTGCCTAGAGGGAGGCTGAGAGCCAGCGGGATTGTAATAACTGCCTCGTGGTGGTTCTCCGACACTAGCCGCATATCTACAATTGTTATTTATTATTAAATAAAATTTTTAAAAATCTAAGAATACATCAGAAGCTAATTTATACAGAGAAACTTCCTGCTGCGAATACTTTATATCAGACAATTCTTGGATCCCCAACAGCCAGTGAGGCTCCTCATATTCTGAGAGCATTAATCCAATTTATGGTAGGTTAGTTCAATTATATATACAGGAAATTCGGTTTTGAAATATAGGGTTTAGAGTTTTCACCTTTTTTAATTAGTTCTACAGATTTGATTGTAACACTTCAACATGTTTCAGGTTTAATATCAAAGAAAAAATTGACGTCATTAATGAGTATATATGAAAAACATTATTCCCTATTTAGCTGCTTGATTAAAAATTGTTGTGTGACAGTTTGATGAACAAACAGTGTGAATAGTATTCTCTCTACAATTTCGACAAATTATTTTGATACTGGACCTATGAGGTTAAAATACATTTTCATGGTCCCTCAGTCTTCCCAACCCCCAATGAAGATAGAAGAAGCTTTATCAGAATTTAATAGGCTGTTAAAAAATTTGAAAGAAAAGAGTGAAAATAGAGCCGATATTATCTATCTAAATCGATTTAGAGAACAAAAAAAAAAAGAGTTCAAACTAAAATTACAGATTACAATTCTAAGGATTTAGAAATTGTAATTCTTTTTATGTAAAAATTTAAGTTTAATATGTACACTTTTATTATAAAAAATATGTTTAAAACTAAAAATGTTTTTTAAAATGAATAAACTATTTCATTTTCACGATACATAACTTACAAGATACATTTTTAATCAGTTAATTTCTTTTTACTTTCCTACCTATACTAGGTAAGGAAAGTATTGCAATCGGGTCAAATTTCCGACATGCGGTTTTTGACTGATCTATACATTTCAGAGCCTCCTGAGTCCGAAAAACATATTTTTAGCCATTGGTCTGTCTGTCTGTCTGTGCCAAGATTTTCTCAGAAACTACTGAACCGATTTTGTTGCTTCTTTTTTTATTTTGTAGGATTTTGACTACTGATGCCTGTGACAGAAATTCGGGATTCCATGCACAATAAATGAAAAACATGTTTTTCTATAGACTGTAATGCAAAAACGGCTCTAACGATTTTGATGAAACTTTCCTATAATGTTCTAATCATTGTTCTCTCGATTTTCGTATATAGACTAAATTCCCGAAAAAATTCAGGAAAAAAAGTTATAAAAAAAAGAAAATTTTTATGGGGGCTAACTCCCTAAGTATATATTATACGGTAAAATTTATAATGAAACTTTTGAAAGGTAATTAAACTACCATATAAAAATCGTTCATTTGGGACAACTATTAACGAATATACAACTATTCAATTTCCAATGTAAGATTACGGGTTTATATCCTGGTGTCAGAAAGGGGTGGATGAGAGAATAAAGATGATTAAGTGATAGTAAGAAAATCTGTTGCCCGCATCACATAATCTTCACTATTTCCTCTACTTTTAATAGAAATTTTTGTTAGACAATACTAAGCTATGGCAAAAAGTTGTTGATCAGCAATATTAGGAAGTATTGAAATTTTTACACTGATCTATCTTAAGCGGGTTTACATTGCTTTAGTTTATCAAATAAATCGTACTCAAATCTTATGTTTGATCAATTTTCAGGAAAAGTTGTCTAGTTCAATTCTTTTTTGTTTCTTTATGAACATATGTAAAGATATAAAAAAAATTTCTGAAATAGGTAGGAAAGTCGTGTGAGTGGACACACCAGATATTTTTATCATAGTTTACTTCCAATTTCTCTAAAAGGAAAATCTCTCTAAAGAGGTCAAATTTTGATTCCCCTTAGGTGTTCGTTACTGAGAAGTTTTACTGTATATAAATTTGTGGAGATTCTTACCTCATATCACTCCTAACATCATTTCTGGTATCACTCCTTACATCGCTTCTGATTTCACTGCTCCTAACCTCTGTTCTAAGATCTGTTCTCACAATATCGCTTCTTACTTCAGCAGGCCTCATATCATTTCTTATTTCGCTCCTCATCTGTGGCGGTGGCTGATGGGTCTGGTAGAGAGGATGAGTGGAGGTAGGCGGTGGAGGTGGAGGCGGAGGGCTTTCGACGTAGTCTGCCTGGTTCAACCTGTACCCCTGCTCGGAGAAGCCGGGGTACCTAAGGGGCGATCCCTGAATAGGTTGGTTGGTGCTGCTCGGCTGTAATAATACGTAAAGATTAAATTAAAAAAAATATTTAAAATTATGGTACAACTTATTCTAGTCACTAAAAATAAAGAAGAAATTAATTGAATCAAGTAACTATATTTTCTTGTATCCTCATTGTTATGTAAAAAGGGCAAATTCAATAATTAGGTGTTTTCAGATTTTTGCATTATTGAATTAATGAATAACAAAACTACTAATCTGCAAAAACGCAGGGCTCTACATTTCTCAACAGCATGGCCCTCAATGCCTCATAGATAGTACCTATTATTATAGGAGATCGATACAAACTTTTCTTCTGTTGGAGTGAGAGTAGCTGACTCCACACTATTTCAGGATACCCACAGTCATATTTTAATAAATTGGGAATCTGACACTTCAAAAGGTGAGTACCCATTGCAATTGTGACCATTATAGACTAGAGACACCTTACTTTTAAGTAGGTCAAGTAAGGTGTTATGTCGAACTTTCTTCCAATCCTTATGCAAAGGTAGGCAACGACCTTACTTGTATGTATCCTTCCTCCTTCTATAATAGAAGTAATTGGAAAGGCTCTGTCAGTCTCACCCTTCTTAAAAGCGATGTTCCTCAATTTCTTTCTCTCACACCATCCTCCTACTTACTAGAATGGTAGACTGTTCAGCCTCACCTTTCAATCTGGTTCTACTGTTCGAGGGCACAACAACGACCTGAATGTTTACATAAGCCTTTTTTACAGAACACTGACGATCTAAGTAAGTAAAAGTAAAAATTATATAATTGGTATAACATATTCCTTTGAAAGAACTAATTATAATGTGTATTTCCCATCCATCTCATCCAATAAGCTTTTTCATTTTTCATCATCTTTTACTACTTATATACAGTTTAAACCCGTGGTCCACTCCCAGAAAACAAGATCCCGTGTTTCCTTTATATCCCTTCCCATAGAACTAAGACGTTTGAATATTTCTTTATTGCCTGATCCACAGCCTTCTGGAATTCCTTGCCATCTGAAATGTGCCATGCCTCTTCCTTGTCCTCATTTAAATATCATCTCTACCAATTCCTTCTCACATCCCAAAATGACGTTATAAAATAAAATAAATATTGCGAAACAGATTTTGACTGAGGTGAATGGTTTATAAAATTGATTGAGTTTTAATTTTAAAAATCAACCCATGCTTATTTTATTTTGTTTTCTTTTCATTTAAATAATGTTTTTTTTTTTATTTTGTTTTTTCTCAAAATTTTATTTTATTTTTACTTGTTTTAATTTAATTTCACTGAAGATACTGTATATATTCTTTAATATCGATTAATCTAATTTTTGGCCAGATGTAGTTTTTATTTTATTGTTCATATCTGTTATTCATAAGGGACCTTATCCCAGAATAAAGTTTGCTTTCTATCTATATACTGTGTATTTTTTTAAATCTTTAGCTTTCCAATGGTATATTATAGATCTACATTAATACTATTACAGCCAGATATTTATTTTGAACCTCCTTTAGTTAATTGTCATGAATGAGTAATTTTTTGTAAATGAATAAAAACAGCAGCATTAATTCCATAGCTATTATGATAATAAATAAGTAGCATGAATTTCAATTTTTAAATATATATAAGTATTATCTAAATCAATTATTTATTATATAAGTAAAATAAATTATAATATATCTCATTATAAAAATAATGATGAAATAAGGACTGACCTGTGGCCTGTTATGATGTGGTGATCTCATTTCTCGTCTCCTCAGCTCTTCACTAATCTCTTGAAATTTGGCTTCTTGGCGAAGCATGTCTCTTGATGATTGAGAGCGAGCCTGCATACGCTGCTTAAAATAAAATTTTTAAAAATTAAAATTTGTTTCCCCACTGAAAGATGGATTTTCATATTGAGCCATTCAACTTGGATATTATAATTAGTGTTTATTTGGCCAGTTAAATTAGTTAGTGTAATGCCCGATTCTCTATCTGGAAATCCTATGTCTGTCAGAGCAACATAATATGCTCTATGGACCAGAGGCTTGTTGCAATATTTTTTAAAATTAAAAATGTTAAATTTATGTTTCTTTATTGAAAATGGATCCTAAATAATATGTTCACTCTTCCGAAATATTGAGCATTCATAAAGATTCTTTCAGTTTTGACATATTTTCAAGATCCACAGCTCATTAATTAAATTTAATTATGTATTAATCAAATAAATTTTTTAATATATTAATAAACTTACGTTCTGTGGCATAAGATGGTTAGGATAATTGTTAGGCAAATATGCGGACGATGGCCTGTCACGAGCTGGCTCAGTAGACCTGCTCTGAAGAGAAGACTGCGAGCCCCTGAAGTTCATTTGAGCCGGAGGAGCCCTACTGATGAAGAAAACGCATGTTAAAATTTTTATCAAGTATATAAAAACATAACCATAAACAATAATTTAATTGAAATTAATATTAAAACGGTCATATTTTACTTTCTTAACTATTAAAGATATTGTAATTGAACAAAAAAAAAAAAACTCTTTTAATTTGCTTTAGAGTCAATAACAGAGGTCTGACCAATCCAAACAGTTTCAATAGTCACTTTGATGGACTCATCTGTGGGCCGAGTTTTAGGTAAATATCACATAGAGAAGGATGGGATGGTTGGGGTGATCAGTCAAAATAAAAATGGCAAAAATAAATAATAATATTTATTTTAACATTTGCTGACATTTTGACTTGAAATTCAGGCCTTCATCAGGGCTGAGAAAAGAACCAGATAACAGTCGGTATGAGAAACATAAACAATGTAGGTAAAAAAAACTTACAGCGAATGAAGTAGATAAGTGAACATTAAAGTAGGAAGAATAATAACAAGAAATAAATAATAATAAAGGCTAAGAAGTGCGGACTAATGAAATAAACATAATCAAAATAAGGTAAATAAGTAAACATAATCTTACTTCATTAATCCGCACTTCTTAGCCGTTATTATTATTTATTTCTTGTTATTATTCTTCCTACTTTAATGTTCACTTATCTACTTCATTTGCTGTAAGTTTTTTTTACCTACATTGTTTATGTTTCTCATACCGACTGTTATCTGGTTCTTTTCTTAGCCCTGATGAAGGTCCAAACTTCAGTTCGAAATGTCGGCAAATGTTAAAATAAATATTATTATTTATTTTGAATATAATATACTGTAAAAAAATGTAATACACACAAAAAGGAACAAAACATAACCGTTATACTATGATTAAATGTAATTGCCTATATACGGAAGACTTGGCAAAGGTCAAGGATATCTTAGCTTTTGATATGAAAGGAAAGGAGGTTCTTATAAGAGCACTACAGGAAAATATAAACAGCTATTTGGTAAGAATGAATTTTTGGGTAGGGAATTTTGGTTCTAAAGTAGGAGAACCATTCCTCTTTCAACAGGTATTTTTTTGGAAAAGCTGGGAGTTGAAAGGAATCAGCTTTAGAGTATGGCGGAAACCATTACTTTAGACTTTGGAATCTTGTATCACCATCTTTGTTCCTGCATTGTTATATAAATTCTAGGGATAGAAAGTTATAATAAAATTATATTATTTGATATTTAAGACGACAGTCCCATCTAACTTTATCCACCTTATGTCTTTTTCTTAAATATCAAATAGACTGATGAATATGCTGTTTCAATTTGCAACTTAAACCAGTTGACGCACCTTAACAACTTTATTATATTTCTCTCTATTTAATAGTAATTTTGTTATCTATATCAAACATGCCTAGTTTTAAAATAGGCTTTCAAGTCAGAAAGCTAGTTAGTTACCTATCATCTTGTGGGCTCGGCATCTTTCCTCTTCCGATGCCGTTCTGAGGCGGTGGCCCGTGGCCATTGTGTATCTCTTGGTTCCTATAGATGCTTAGGTTCTGGTAGAAGCGTTCTCCGTTGTCACCAACTGGACTAGGCTGCTGCTGTGGCTGCTGATAAGGAGGTTGCTGGTAGGGGATATGATGGTTATTGTAATTGTTAGGGATGAGGTTAGGGTTCGACGGTTGTCTCGGACCAATATGGTTAGGAGGGAGAGTCCCTTGCCTGTGCTCTGCGAGATTTTGACTTGACCTGTTTAAAAAGAAAAAATAGTTTAGAAGTTGATACTATAAAAAAATATATATAAATAAGAAATTATAAAATTTAATTAAATCAGTCGTAAACCTATGACTTCTGTCATCCAGTATCCTTTAACAATACCCCACTTATCCCTGTTGAACAAATCTGATACCTAGGAGTCCTGGACAAATGTCTAACTTGTAAATCCCATACCAGACTGAATCGACAAGAAACAGCTTGATGTTTCTAACTATTTCAGCACTTACTAATAATATTAATATAAAACAGCATACACATCACTTGTTGGTGCGACAGGCTTGTTGAGTTAAGATTCTGATTATTTGGCAATAATAGGATGTCTGACACCAAGACAAACGAGCTTGTCAATCCAACAAGCCTACTTCAGTTCGTAGATACTGCTGGAATAATGCTCTGAATAAGAGCGACACTAATATGGAAGTACAATAGGTCTTGTTGGCTGCGGAGCATTTTACCACAAATAAAAAAAAAAAATCATTCATGATGACCTTCACGTTTCAGATCTGGCCCAATGTAGATACCTATCCTTATATAATAAACTTCAGAACCATCCCAAACCTCTTGTTTCTAAATTCCTGATAACCCTTTGAGGCGTCTGAAAAGAAGATGGTCCCATGATCTCCTAATGTAGACATATTATTAGAGTGCTACCAGTGGGTAGTTTCTCAACAATGACATAATACTCATTTGTTCACGTTTACTAGATGTATTTTTATTTTTTAATAAAGATGTAAATATAATGAATAAAATCTAAAAAAAAATTACCTTGATCTGATTTGATGAGCGTTAGGATGAGGTTGAGTTTCATAAGATTTTTGTGGGATGCTATTTGTTGATGATGTCCTACTGTACCCTGGGTTAAATACTTCGTGATTTGGGTGAGGCATAGTGCTACTTGCAATTGTGGTTTGATTTAAGTTTGGTCTTTCAAATTCGTGATTACCAGCTGAAAATTAAAAATTAAATTACAATCAAGAAACATGAATACTATGAAGTTTTCTCCTTCTTTTTTTTTTTATAGCAATAAGAAATAGTGAATTAAGTCAATTGAAATTTAAAAAAAATAAAATAATACATTTAATCTTAAAGGACAGTTATAAGCATTATTAATCTCTTTTTAGCTAAAAATGTTAGTTACAACTTTGTAAAACTAAGACAGATAATAATCTACATAAATAGAATAATTCTGAAGTCAGAGGTGAACCATAATATGTGAATTTGTTTTCACTTTTGAGATTTTTATCTTAAGAGACTCATTTTTTATGAAACTTCATTGAGGAAAACTATCCTACATGCATAATAAGATGGTAGGTGAAATAATATTTCTTATTTTGCACATAGGATAGTTTTTCTCAATGAAGCTCCATCAAAAATGAGTCACTTAAGATAATTTTTTTTTTTTCCCCTACGCCTAAGTAACGCCTGCTTCATCAGCCATGCGTGCTCTTGTAGTCCAATACAGTTTTGCTCTCCGAGCATAAGGGCTGTCCATTTCATTAAAGGAACATCTTATGTCCTGTAATGAAGGGCATGTATCAAGATCTTCTCCTGTCATCATGTCTAAGGAACATGGAGGGCACATGTCGGGCTATCTTTTATACCGATGCGGTGGAGGTGCTTCTGAAGGAAATTGTGACCAGTCAGCATTCTAAAGCATGCCACGGCTTGCCCTCTAGGGAGGTCTCTAGGAATCCAGCCACTTTCTTCCAGCAATCCACTGCATCGTTTCCCTTCAATTGTTTGTACATATTTCTCTTTCAGTGAACTTTGGAGGGTCTGTTTTATGATTCTTTTTGTTGAATCCATGGCCAGAGGAATATCGGGTTGGATAATTCCAGAACCTATTCTGGCCAGTTTGTCAGCTTCATCATTTCCGTGGAGCCCGCAAGATAAAAATCTCAAAAGTGAAAAAATTCACATATGGTCGTTTACCTCTGACATACAGAATTAAAGTATCATTTTTTAATGAAGTTTAATTAAATGCTTAAGTGAATAAAATATCTTTGATAAGTAGACGACTTACTGTTGAGCGATGGAACGGACTTTGAGCTATGTATCTGAGGGTGGGGAGGGAGCTGGCCTCTTCCCTGCTGGCCTTGCTGTTCACTAAGCACACGTGAAGGTAAATCCCTTTCGCTCATCCGACGGGGGCCTATCAGAAATAAACAGTATTTAATTATATATAAAATGAAAAAAAAAAAAAGATTAATAATAAAAAATGTAATATATACAACAATCAATCCTCAATTACAAAATTAAAAGTATATATCTTTTTCGAGCAAAAAGACTCATTAAATTTACAGAGAAACTTCAAATGGATAATTTTTTGTTACAGAAATTTTTTTCATTCCAAACTGGCTAATGATAACACTGGTTTTATTATAAGAAGGAGTTAGTCGGGGGTGCGGTCAGATAAATACTAAATTAAAATATAGTAATTATTTTATTATAATTTTGCCGACGTTTCGACCCACTTTGCAGGTCGTCTTCATGGCTACAAAAGATACAAAACATGTTGAGAATAAAAATTAAATATAAGTAGATATAAAATAAGAAGTTGTCAGATACAGAAATAAAAGATGATATCAGAGATATAGTGGGTGACAATGTAGTAAAATATTAATTATTATATATGTAGAAGATATAAATAAATGGAAAATAAGTATGAATAAAAAAAAAAGGAGAATATAGCATGTAAGTTAAAAGTAAACAGATTAACATTACTTATTCAATTTTCAATCTATTTATTAGTTAACATTCATTTTATTTATCTGTTAAACCCACAGTTATCTCATGTAATCTCTATTAGTTTGTTATATACTTATTCCTTATCTTTTATCGCAATCTGTTTCCTTTTAACTTACATGCTATATTCTCCTTTATTTTTATTTTTATTCATTTTTTATTCATACTAATTTTCCATTTATTTATATCTTCTACATATATAATACTTAATATTTTACTACATTGTCACCCACTATATCTCTGATATCATCTTTTATTTCTGTATCTGACAACTTCTTCTTATTTTATATCTACTTATATTTAATTTTTATTCTCAATATGGTTTTATTATATTTATAACATCTGTATAGAGGATATTCTCTGTAATGAACAGATATTAAGCTCAGTATTAACTGTATGCAATAAAACATAACTCGGTTACTAATAACTTTTAACGCCATCATGATAACTTTATTTTTGAAGTGAAAAGTTTATCAGAATAATTTTTACGCAACTATAGTCGTACTTAGTGAGTATAGATCAAATATATTTATATCATGTTATTGATTTTGTTTTGTTAATGTTTTTACTTTTATAGCGTAGTCTTAAGCACACACCATAGTTTTTGTTTTTATTATGTTTTTTTTTTCAGAAGTTTGCCTTTCCAATTATAATTGTTTTCTAATAATTTTGCGATTTGTAGATTAATGAGAGAGCATTTTAAGACTTATTTTTACTTTGATTTCAGTATCTAGCCCGTAGTTGATCAATTAAAAAACTCCCATTAATAAATTTATAGTTAAAAGACAAAATTTAATTAATATATGGGAAAGAGTAGTGTATGTAAACTTTTTCACGATTGAATTGAAAACTCTCAGATATATCAGTAGATATATATTTTTTTTCTGGTATTTTTGTTACATATATAATGACAGTAACAACGCACATTTTTTATTAAATGTAGATAAATATTTTTTTATGCTTTTGAATATTATTGCATATGTACAATTATAATATACTTCTTCACTCAAATAACCATTTCTCCCCTTTCGAATACCTTTTAGTTGATACATTACTCTAACAGAAAAAATATAATTCCCTATTAGTGTCTGTTATAGAGAAGTTTCACTGTATTCATTAATCATTTGATTTTCATTACAATAATTAAAATAAATAACAGTAGAGAATAATAGAAATAAATTTATTTAAAAAAAATAAGAAAATTAGAACTGAAAAGTAATTCAGTAATCTTGATTTAAAAAATATGAAGATAATTTTACAAAGTTAATAAATGCTCTAAACAGCAGATATACAGTTTTTTTATTTAAATTGTAATATAATTGTTTATAAGTATTATATTTATATATTTTAAAGACATTATATACAAAATAAAACTTTCATTTGGTAACTGAAAACATGCTTTCAATAAATTTCTTCAACTCCAAAAAAATAAAATAATAAATATACATATAATAATAGTGACATACAAGTTCTTGAAAAGAATCATACTCCAAAGTTTTAAAAAATATATACCAAAAGTTAGATATTCTTGTTATTCAATCCAAAATTTTAAACGATAATATATAGTTCTTTGAAAATATGAACTACATATTTAATTAAGTAAACTAGTTACGAGCAGAAGATCATAGTTTACATATATGTCAAAAGATATATTTATTTTGAGCTATCGTAGCTATTACCAAATATAATTTGTTTCTGTTCCAGGATAATTTTTTCAAATTTCATTTTATGGAATGATAGGATTTTTTAATGACAACCTTTAAACTGCTAATAATTTATTTACACTAGTGAATATTTGGAAAAATTTAATATTTTCAAAAACATGCAACAGTGATGTATGTTTAAAACAAAAAAAATTGATACGAAACATCACAAGTATAAAATAATAAATATCCAGAAGTATGAAGGTTGTCACCAAACATTTTTATCATTATACAAAATACTAGCCTTTTAAGAAAAGAGAAGAAAAGAAATACAATTATTTTAACAACCATGTAATGAAAATTAGAAATGTTTCCAAGAACTTCATGATATATAAATGAAAAAAAAAAAAAATTAAATATACTAAGACGAGGCAAAAATTAATTGAATGTGATGCAAGCAAAGAGTAATCACATTGTAAAAACATGCAGTTTGACAAAAAGTAACAGAAGAAGTAAACATCCAAAAACAATATTTAAAAAACAAAATTTGGAACCTAGTAAAACAAAAAAGAAAAGACCATGCAAAAAACCCAAAACAAAAAATCAAAATGGAACGATGGAAAATAAAATGTAAAAATAAAAAAATCACGTGCCTCTAACTGAACAACATAAGAACAGCTTGCACAACAGTTAGAAGCAGAACATTTCTCACAGCTTACTGCTCTCGGAGACTACCATCCCACCAGTACCAGTACTGTCCATCGCTTGCTGAGGCTGGCAGCTTGTGGTGGAAGGCTTGCACCAGAATGTGTTACAGCTATCCAGACTAGTCATTTGACAAAGGCGAACTGGAGTCACGACAAAACTTCTCTGCAGCTCTAATTTCTTTACCCTCTTCAGCTTTCTTCCTTTGATTACGTCTGCTTTACATTTCTTCCTCAAAGTGTCTTTTGATGTACCAAAATCTAATTTGTCTTTTTCCTTAAGTCTTTCTGACCATCCGTTTGATTTTCCACCAGCATCATCGACACTCATCCATCTCTTCATGCAACGCCCGCTGCTGTCTCCAATATACGCCTTGTGAATACGTTCCGATGCACAGAAGTTAGTTGGACTGTCAGTTTTGGGCAGTTCTTTATTTTCTAACCAGTTAGATGACATGCCATCGACCTCACCAAGGTCCACTAGACTGTAGTGCTTATGAGATCTAGATGCTAATACCTTTCTTCTCATTTCTACTTCATCCACGCTTATAGATTTACGAGTCACGCTTAGTCGGGGTGGCTTAAATTTAGATGGTTCAGGAATCACTAAATGTATTTCAGGAAGCGAAACTATTTTGGTAGCTACATTACCTTCAGTTTTCTTATCATGGAGAGCACTTTCTGACAATGACAACTTCTCTACCTTAGGAATGTCTATCTTCAAAGGACTGGTCTGAGTGAACTTATCTAAAATAGAGCGGTCACTTCCGCTAAGGAGACTATCACCGTTATCTTGAATACTAGGTTTATTTTCAGAGGATTTACTGTTATCTAGGAAGACTATATCGCACTTTGCTTCCTTTGTAATGACACCATGTCCTAAATCGATAAGTCTATCCATACTGAATCCAACTGGCTTTAGGCCATTAGTTTGAAGTACTAGGTCGTAGTTACTAAGAGACGTATCGTCGAGAAAGGCAGCAGGAGGAAGAATAATATCACCTGGTTTTGGACTCATTTCCAAATCGTTGACGGCAATGTTCGGTTCAGACTTAAAGTTACCTTTTGTGAGGCTTCTCTTATAATTCGTCTTTCCTCTGATGATACCGGCTTCGCCCATCTGAGAAAAGTGTTTAGCCAACGCTGCTACTCTACCGGTACCATACTCAAAATCTCCTTCATTTGAACTCGAACGGGAAGAGGAACTTTCTGGTAAAGGAATATAAATTTCAGTCTTAGGAGGTTCCGGTTGAGATAGCATGGAATTTAAGAAATCATTCATCGGATTTGCCAAACCCAATTCACTTTCCTCAGTGGTTAAGTCTTTGTTCGCAAATTCCGTAATACGACCAATCCCACTGACAATATCATCAAGTTCTTTTAATGCTTTTTCTTTTTCTTCATTTGAAAGTTTACGTCTTGAGACAATTTCTTCTTCTGGCTTATCTTCTTTTGTATTATTTTCTTTAACAATTCTAACTTCCACCTGAGAGTCGGTTGACTGGGGCGACTGAGAATCTACCATACAATCGCATTCTGAAGAACTAGTATCTAAAATACAGTCTAGCGATACGGAACGTCTCTTAAAATTCGATTCACAATCCTCCTTAAATTCCCATTCTCCAGTTTTTGTAAGGTAAATATCACTTTTCCAAGACCTAGAATTATCTAAAGGAACCCAATAAGATGGAAAAGTTTCTTTGGTACGTTCCATTCTTTCTAAGAACCAATCTGGTGGTGTCTTTATATCATTCCTTGTTCGAATCAGGTCCACTTGAGGCAACACTCTCTGTAATGATGCAGATGCATCTTCTGAATCACAATTCATCAATCGTGCTTGGTGTTCTTGGAAAACGTCCTCGCGTAGGTTGAATTCATTTTCTGGAGGTACCTTATAATAGTTTATATTGTTCTGCGGAACGCTGAGTAAGTTCGATGGAGGGATGATTATTTGAGGGTTGCTTGGAGGAGGAGGAGGTGTCATCGTGATGATTGGAACTGTTAGTCTAACCACTGTGGGAGAACCTGGTCTAACCGGTTCTAGATATTCCTCGGAAGCGGCGTCGTAATCATAGCCACAACGCTCGTTAAAATTTCCCATCGATACGCTTTTAGGGAAATATTGCTGATTCAATTCTCTATTCGGGTGTGGCATCTGGGCCCCGTAAGCTGCAAAAACATCTAGTTTAGACCAAAGAAGGATCAAACAAAGGACAATGTAATTTCAATTCATAAACAGAAAATAACTTTTGTAATACATGTACTATTTTGTCTCCATTATATTCAATATCTATATTTGAAAGTACACCATGAGAATTAGTTCATTGAGCAGATTAATACTCAATACAAAATTTTACAAAAAAATTTTTTTCAGTTTTTCGACATATATAGACTCATGTTACGCAGGTTGCTATTTTTGTAAGATTAAAGTAAACATGCATCGTAATTATTTTCACAGAAATGTTTAGTATTATCAGGCACCATTAATCATAATCATCTCAAATGATGTTAATCAAAGATAAAATAGATACAATACGTTAAGTTTAAAGCGCCTCTATGACTATTGGTTTTAATAAAGTGTTAAGAATCAAAGCACCCAAATACCCGATTAATAAGTTAGTAATAAAGTAATAGAAATTATACATATACTTAAATAGATAATTACCTCTCGTCATAACAGGCGAAGGCTGAGACAACAGCGTAGCTAGGCCGTGATATATGGCTCCTTGCTTCGCCACTTCTAAAGTGACAATAGGACCAGTTCGGACAAGGTACTCGGCAGCCCTATAAGGCAAAGTTCAAAATAAAATTATTGGGTGAATCAATAATGCAACGTCATTAAAAAAATAATCCAAAAATTTTATATTGTAATTAGATAAATTATTAGACTAATAGAACTAGATAATACTGCAATTTTCTAACTTCTTCAATTAGTATTTATTTATTTGTTATTTGCCTCTATTGCTAGGGTCATCGGCAATCCTCTCCTTACTCACACCTCTCATATTTCATTGTAAAATGCAATCATTCTTAAGAAATCCATCAGGATCTCCACTTCTCTCTCCCCGCATCCTGAAATACCACTCAGATAGCCTCATGCATGTTAAGGTTCTTCTTCCATATCACCGCATAATGTGTACAGTTTACGAGTATGTGGTTCACAGTTTTAGCGGCACCAAACCTGACACAGATAGGTGGTTCTCGACAGAGGAGTAGGTATCTGTGTCAAATTCGCAGAGACCAATTCTAAGTCCGCACAGGATTATTTCCTCTTTTCTTGATTTCCTGTTACTTGTGTACCACTTAGCATTGTTTGCTTTTATTTGGACTGGTTTCTTCTCCATGTCTCATTTGAAAATTAAATGGCTTTAATGCTTTAAAAAATAAATGGCTTTAGTACCTTGAAAATTGAATGGTTTTAAAACTATATTAATGTAATGAAATAAAATATGAAAAAACTAATGTCCTACATGCATAATATTGTTAAACTTATTAAAGTAAAAAATCAAAATTTTGAGAAAAGAAAAACAAATTGTTACATTCTTCTGTTTATTGGTGGCTTTCGGTCATTTAATTTTTTATTGTCTATTATACACAGATGAAAACAACATATTTTCTTCTTTTTTTTCTGAAAAGTATTGAATTTAATTTTTGTAAGTGTAACATGGTAGCTGAAGATATTTCCTGGTATTAATGAAAAAATAAAATCATACAAGAATTATCAGTTTACTATCTTTGAGTAAAATATCATCTTTGATACATTAACACACACCTAAGTATAAAAAAATGTATATGTCGCTGTAAAACAAAATGGAAAAGAAATCAAGTTGTTAATTTTATTTTTTTCTATTTTAGGTATATAGCATGAAACTTTTCCCTTCCATATATATATATATATGTTAATTTATTCTGTTCTACGTTTCAGACTGTTTAATTGAAAAAATAATAATAATGAAAATGTGTTGTACTATTCACAATTTTCATTCCTTTCAACATTTAACAATTTTTTGTTAGAATTGCAGAAAAATTTTAAATAATTTTTTATTATCAAAAATTAAAAAAATAATTACACACAATATTGATCTTATTGAACTTTAAACAGATTTTGGGAATCTTCAACATTCATCATTGTATATTATAGAAATAGAAAAATCATCTTTATTCTGGGACTAGGTCCCTTTAGAATAACAGTATTGTTCATATAAATTAACCATAAATCTGGCCAAAAGACTTATTACAATGAATAATAACAAAATATTAGTAATAAATTAAGTATTAGTTAAGCTCTTAGGATAAATTAATGAGAACAGTTGGGTAATAGGGATTCAGTACTACAATATTGGAGCTAAAATAATTGCATAATAATCGCTGAATGAAATTAGAAAGGAACGCAAAATCAATTTTATAGGCAAAGCATTGTAGTGATGGAATATAAAAATTTAAAAAACAAATAATGATAACTGTTAATATGTAAAGAAATAAATTGTAAAAACAAAAAAAAAGTATATACATATATTCCCTAAGATATTTAAGTGATTATGCGTAAAGATTAGGAGAATAAAAAATAAAATAAAGTGTACATATATAAATTATAGGTGATGAATAGTAAGGATATGGTAATTTATAAGGTTTTTATTGGTGCTGACGTTTCAACCAAAGCATGTGGGTCATCATCGCTGCATGTTTCGAGCACTGAAGTTATTCGAGTACTTCAATAACTTCAGTGGTCGAAACATGTACTGATAATGACCCAGTTGCTTAATTTGACATGTCGGCACCCATAAAAACCTTAAAAATGACTGCGTACTGACTATTTATCACTGAACAGTCAACTAACAGAACAGTTGACTAACTTTCTTCAATACATCATTGTATAATGTTATTCAATACAGTCGTATTTTGATGAAGGCTCTTTGACAATCTTCAGATTAACTTTAAAAATGTGGTCTTACAGTTTATTCCATGATTTTGGCAATAACAATGTAAAAAAAATTTAGGGTTTACTAATAACATACCAATTCGAAAATCCAAAAGTAAAAAAAAAATCAAACTCACTTTTCTTGTGTTATTCCAACCAAGCTCTGCCCATCAACTTTCAACAACTGATCACCTGCTTGCAGTCTTCCATCCTACAATATAATTAATTTATTAGTTATAATACAACTACTAATAATTTAGTAACAGCTACCATTAATAAAATAATAAACGATTACTTACTACTAATAGTTATTTTATTAAATAGAAATGTAAAGATACGATGTGCTACTTACAGCATCTGCTGCACCTCCCTTCACAACAGACTTGATGTAGATGCCAAGCCTGTCCTGCCCAGCTCCCTATAACAGAAATAAAACAATTTGTTAATTAATAAAATTATATAGAAAAAAAAATAAGGTGTGTGCTATAGACCACACAATAGAAGTGAAAACATCCACAAGAGAAGATTAATAATATAAACTACAAATTGTAAATAATAGTTCATTATAAACAGGAAGAAATGCTGAACAGTTCATTAGCTTACAGTAACCGGGTCCGATTTTTAATTTCTGAGATATTATAATCCACATCTTCAATAAAACTCGTTATTTGGTTTTCAACACGATTTTTTCCCTTTTCCGCTCTCTAACACGGTGTTGCGTTAAGATACTTAACACTTCAATTAGTCGACTCCCGCTGACTTTATCCGAGCGTTACACATCGAAGATCTGACAGCTCAATCTAATTCACTATCCACAAAAAAAGTGCAAAACGCGTCTAAAGAAGTTTTCACTTAAAAAAAAAATTATTTTGCATAGCAACACTGCAGAAGTACTAATTATGCTAAGGAATGAATGAACAACTTGGATCTGTTCAGTTTAGAAAAGCCTTCAAGAATCGAAAATGGACTTCGATAATAATTAAACATTTCTATATTAACCTGTACCACTACAACCCATGAAGGGTCTTGGGTTCAGTACTTTGTTGAGAAGTACTGTTTCAAGGCCAAAGGTAGGAAAGGGAGGTGATCGGGCCAGTATCATGCTCAATCACTAGATATCCCCCTTGATCAATTATATAAATTCAGAGTACCCATTTCAATTTAATTTAAATTTGTAAATAAAATACTTTTTAAGACTAGTTACACGGATTTCTTTCCTTTATGTTTTAAAATCTTCCGAATATTAACTTGTACTTATTGTAAAATATTCAAAAGATGAATAACATTATAATTGAATAGCAAAAGATTTGATAAAAAAAAATCTAATTTTACGCCATAAAAATTTTAAACAGATTTATTAAAATTTTTTAGAGCCTTTGGAATAGTATGAAAATAGACTATGATATACTTCAAAGCCCAACAGGAGTTTCATGACGTAAGTGAAAAATGAATATTTTTTTTTTTGGGGGGGGGGAGGGAAGGGTTGGCAAATTTAGACAGGGTTTTGAATTTTTGAGGAGGGCACGTTTCGACGGGGTCATGAATTTTTCGAAATTTAAAGTTAAGAAAAAAAAAAAAACATGGAACAGACCACTGCATATATATGATTGTAATTGATAAATGATTTCTTTTAATTGATTATTTATTTAATGAAATTTACAACTGCAACAAAACTAGTAAAAATGCACACATTAGAAATAATGACATGAACAGACTTGAAGAGATACTGCCCAGTGGTAGCACTCCCTATTTAATTCTAGGTGAGAAGATCACGAGGCCATCTTCTTTTCAGACGCCTAGGGAGATTATCATGAATCGAGGAAGAAGCAGGTCTGGAAACCAGTGGATACGGATGGGACTGGAGTTTATCATAAAAGGATAGGTATCTGGCTCGGGCTAAATCAGCGGCATATGGGACATTAAGGATTTTACGAACGATTTTGGATTGTAAGGATTGGATACCATAGGAATTCGATGGTTTGGTAGAACCCCAAAGCTCAACTCCGTATGTCCATATAGTTCTTATTATGGTTATGTAGATGAGTCTTTTTTAATTAATTGAAAGTTTAGAGCGTTTGTCTAGCAAGTGTCGGAGTAGTCGGAAACGTCGAGCAGTTTCTTGTCGTTTCTGTCTGGTATGAGGATTTCAAGTGAAACCTTTATCCAAATGGAGTCCTCGTCCTCTTTTAATTAAATTTTATTTGATGGAAGGTTAATACGCCCTCATTCTTGGGGGAAAGGAGAGGGGAATGGACACCTCTGAAATATAAAAAATATGTCTGTAGACATTTTAAAGTCATTATAGAAATTTCGAATTTTGGTCTATGTCGCGAGCTTTGCCTTACTCATCCTACGCGTTTTCATTTTATTTCATTAATGACATACGAAAGAATTAAAAGGTGTAGGTATAATGTTATTAATATAAACATATGTTTTACAATAAATATAAATATGAGATATAAATATCTAGGAAGGAATAGTTAGGAGGGAGTGGCGACTATTGCAAAGGTCAGAGGTGAGACCTCGAACCTCAACCTCCCTAACCTCACCCAGGTCAACTCCATCAACCGACGACTGCTTCCTGTAATTAATACAGAGTGGTCTTGTTATCTTGCGCTCAGGGACAATGAGAGGAATATTCAAAGAAATCAATACGTGTTAAAAAATGTTCCAGGCGACAGTCCAGTATTCGAATGGTCTAAATAACTGAACAGATTGCTATCGCTAAAAAACAATAAAAGATTTAAATATTTTTTTACTTATTTTTGTTTTTTTTATTTTCAACAAAAATTTATTGAAATCTATCTACCATAAAAAAATAATAACTTTTTTCTTTTTGAAAATTTTGAGGTTTTACGTCTAAAAAAAAAAGTATCGAGAAGTAAGAGATCTTCGACAAAGTCAGAGGTCAGCCCAGGATTCTTTGAAATCGAAATGTCTATCCGTTATTCTGTTTCAAATTATGTCAGTACTTGAACACCCTCAGTGCTCAAACCACGGTTAATAAGAGAAAATATTACAAATTCGTATAAATGGATTATATACATTATTTTTTTTAATTTTTAGTTTGTATAACTGTTTACATATTTAATTTTATTATGTGTATTGCAATATTAGTTAAGATTCATGTACCATCAATCAATATAGTTTATTATTTATAATTAGCGGTCGTATACTATTATGTCTCTGATTGTATTTTAAAGAACATTTTCAGCCCTGAAGATGACCCACATGTTTGGGTTGAAACGTTGGCAAAAATAAAAAAAATCACAAAAGACTGCGTCCTGAATATTTATCGCCCATTTCATATTATATCGTTTTTGGAAAGCACTGGGAATTACATATAGAATGCAGCGCGCGCGCTTAGTAGAGGAAAATATCAATATTTCGATAATATCGATTATCGATGGGCATCCCTAAGTAGATTCAAGTAGCGACCAGGGGATCCTTTTTACTTAGTAAACTCAATTTGCTCAAACTTGTTAGTTAGAACCTTCTCAAACCAAGGAATTTTCAAAGAAATCTGTGTAAGATGAAAATAAATTAGCATTTCGCTGAATCCGACCTATGGGAGAACGGAAGGCATAATTGTTGAATGGAAATTTTTCGAAAAAAACTGAGATTAACGAATATAGACAAAGAACCAGATATTTAATTTTGTTTACTAAGGAGGGTAGAAGAATTGATGATTCTATTAATCAACTTATAGAGAAATCTTTTTTTAGATACGCCAATGTGCTAGAAAATCAATATTTATAGTGATATTAACAATTTAAAAATCTTTATATCGATTATCGATTTTGAGCCTTGGATATCCCATCCATTGAGTGGGGACAAGCGACACTTACTTGATACATAACTGTGCGGAAATAATAGACCATTGTGTAATAAAAAATCAACAGCGTTTTTAAACAATATTAACAATTATTGTTATTAATAATAAATACCAGAGAAAACATTCGCCGAACTTTGACCTTTCTCGCATTCGATATTCGCTGGAGACTTTTGAATGGCACCTGACTCAGCATTTAATTCGAAACATCATCTAGATGAGTCCTAATTGAAACAGTAGTGTGGGCGGCCGAAACATCTGCTTCCTATACTTCCACTACCATATATACTGGGCAACCATCTGCTTTATATAGTATTGTATATTATTTTATTTACATTATGTAATATATAATATTGACAGCTGATGATATGATTATATCCCTGGCAAGCTATGATATATGACAAGAGTTAATATTACAGCTGTTTATTGGAGTAAGGAATAAAATGCCGGAAATAGTGGAAATTCAACGTTTAACATAAGAATTTAAAGATCGAATATATATATATAAATATAAAAGTTTAGACCTCAATGTTTTAATCTTTTAAATGTTAAATGTTAAGTGTTGCAAGACCAAGACCAGGACTGGTAAAAAAATCGATTTTTCAAAATAAAAATTAAGGCAAAATAGTTACTAATACTTGGCAATCTTATATACTATATGTTAATAATTGGTATAACCAATATACTTTTGCATTTAACTCCTCTAATTTTTCATTCGGTCTTAGTTAGGTTTTTCTTATCTAAAAAAATAATGTAATATCTCTATAATAATAAGCTAATAGGTAACTGCAAGACTTAGGTGAGACTTGCGCAAGACCAAGACTCGTCACTTAAATCTTTGATTATTAACAGTTGCGAATACATATTTATGTATTTCCTTATATATATAAAAAAAAATCAATTTATTAACATATATCAATAAATTAAACAAAAGTGTGTTTTTAAGAACTATAAATATAAAATTAAATTGTAATTTTATTCTTTAGCGTAAAAACTTTCCACTTGAAATACGATATTTAAAAAAAATGCAATATATTAATTATAGTCGGATAATAGGTCATGAACTACACTTCAATAAACTAAAACTCCTCCTGTTTATTCTTTTTATTCAAAACGTTCCGATCCCTGTTTTTTTAAATAAAAAATAAACAGGAGCTGTTTTAGTTTATTGAAGTATTGTTCATAACCTATTATCCGACTATAATTACTATCTTTAGTAATAATATGTAAAGATCGATTAGAAAAATATTTTATCATTATGTATATATTTTATAAATCGATAGTAAGGCTTTATTGGAAAGAAATGGCCCAAGACAGGCAGAGATGGAGCAGGCTTGTTAGGGCGGCAAAAGATCTACATGGCCTGTAATGCCAACAGAAAAAAAAAATATATATATATATGGCTTCATAAAAAAAAAAAGTTTTTCTATATTTGACGAGTCTTTCATATAACAGATTAACTAAATCCAATTTCAACATCCTATATATTATTCCTAAAAGGTTTTTTTTTTTTGTCGGTACGCCATAACTTCGTCAATTCTTCATCAAATCCAATGATTCACAACTCATGTTGAAGATATTCTTAT